AGTAATTTATTTCCATTTTGCCCCCACAAAGCTGTTATTTCAGTGTGGCCAAAGGGATATTTGTTAGACCATAAATTAAATGTCACACTGCTGCTTAAAGCCTGTCATCATCTCAGTGCTCTTGGCCTAATATCTAAATTTCTTACCATAGTCTACAAGGAACTGTCATCTTCCTGCTTCTCACTTATATTCAGGTTGATTTACTTTGTTGCCCTCTGGAACACTCCGTGTATTTTTCAAATCAGTTGCTTCACTCAACCACTCCAGTGAGCTGTTTTTATCCTTTTGCTCTTGGCTTAGATGCCACATCCTCAAAGAGCCCTCTTGACCACCTATTCTAGTATCACACTGCCTTGTGTTTACTTAATGACACGTACCATCTGTGGTTATTTTATGTGTCTTGCCTGCCCTGCACCATAGGGTCACAGGCTCTGTGAGGGCAGAACCATGTCTGCTGTGTTTTCTGCTATGTTCAGGTTTCCTGGCACGTGCAGAAAACTACCTGATGAATGAATAAGGAGCGCAGGCAACCCCCTAGTGATAGAAATATGTGGTGATTGTGCCAGTCCAGGCGGCATTTGAGAATGGGGAGTGGAACTCGAAAGAAGAAGCTAGAACAGTAATGGCGAACCTTTTGAGCTCGGCGTGTCAGCATTTTGAAAAACCCTAACTTAACTCTGGTGCCGTGTCACATATAGAAATTTTTTGATATTTGCAACCATAGTAAAACAAAGATTTATATTTTTGATATTTATTTTATATATTTAAATGCCATTTAACAAAGAAAAATCAACCAAAAAAATGAGTTTGCGTGTCACCTCTGACATGCATGTCATACGTTCGCCATCACTGGGCTAAGACTAGAAGTACAGATTTGGAATTTATCTAGTTTGAGCTAATGATTGAAGAGGTGGGAGTCGAAGTAGACAATTTGAGGGAAGGTCCAAGGGTAGAAATTCTGTGGGGGAAAATGAACATTGGGGGTAGAAGATAAGAGGCAACCAAAAGCCATGAGAAACCATCAGACCTGGAGAAATAGTCAAGAGACATATTTTTGAGGACGACGAGGGGGTGGTGAAAGGCATGCAAGAGGCAGCAGTGAGTGTCAGGGGTTGCTGATGACTTTGAGAGATTTGTTTCAGTTACTGGTTATGGGAACCAGGTTATAGGAGGATGAGGTGTGATTGGAGGACGAAGAAGTGGAGGAAGTAAGCGTGAGTTACTCCTCTCAGAAATTCTGTGGGCAGTGGGCAGTTATCTTGCTCCATAGGGTAGGATGTTAGAGGATTAAGAAAAAGAGCCAGTGCAGGGTACTTAACTGTAGATAATGTAGGCATACAGGCCTGCAGGTAGATATCACTATGTAGATGCTTAAGCATTTGAAAGATTGAAAAGCCTAGCGTTCGCATGCTTGTGTCCTCTTCTGACTGGCGAGTGAGGATGGTGTTTTGCAGCCCTTCCCGGACTGTCTGCAGTGAAGAGCGTTTTTTAAATTTTTCATTTTTACTCCTGTGGACATACTTTTGCTAAATGTAATAAAAAATGAATTACTTTAAAAACAATCATCCCTTGGAAATCGTGCAATGACAAATTGTTATAAAATGTTCTAAGTGCTTGCTTCCAGTTTCTACACCTAATAGGATGGTAATGAACAGCTGAGGGAGTCCTCAGGCCGCAGATCTTGCTGTGAGCAGCACTTATGTGGTAAGTAAGGGTGCTGGAGAGTCAGGTGTTTTTCACAAGTGGCCCTCTGATTCCCAGACAGGCCAGTAAATTCCAGGTTAGGATCGTGCAGTGGGCGTTGCATGCCAATACTAGAAAAAAATAAGAGACACTACTATTGTAATGGAGTCAGTAGTCTTGAATATGTTTGCCCTTTTCCCCTCTGCTAATACTTAAAGTTATCTATATATATATAAAACCCTAATATACGAATAGACCGAACGGCAGAACAACCGAACAACCGATCACTATGACGTGCGCTGACCACCAGGGGGCACGCACGGAACATGGTGGGCATTGGCAGCAGGCAGCAGAGCGTGGAACATGGCGGGCATCAGCCATGGTGAGATGGTGGAGCAGATGAGCAAGGGTGCCAGACCAAGGTGGGGCGCTGGTTGCTGTCATCAGGGCGAGCCTCTGGTTGTTACTGAAAATTCTTTGCTCGGCACTGTCAGAGGGTGCGAGCGGGACTGGCTCTGGCAGCAGGTGTGAGCGGGACCGTCGCCAGCAGCAAGTATGAGAGGTGGCTGCCAGTCCCAGTCGCCCCTGAGGACTTCTCCACCTCCCCTTGCTCCTGAGGGCCGATCGGGGAAGCAGCTGCTACTCGCACCCGCTGACAGCGCCAGCCCCAGTTGCTCCACGCCATCAGCAGGTGCGAGTGGGGCCAGCGCCGTCAGCAATGTGGGGGCGGTGGCGGGAGTGGGGCTGCCAGCAGAGGGGACCAGGGGCTGCGTGGGAGCGGCCAGTGAGGGGTGCGGAGGATGAGCCGAGACCCGCCCCTGTGCCCACCGCAGCCTCTCAGCCCACAGTTCCTTTCAAGGTGCACGAATTCGTGCACTGGGCCCCTAGTTTGAAATAAAAGAGAACTCTTTAAACATACAACTGCTTAAAATATGAAAACTCTTACCAATCAATTCTAAAGCCAGGAAGCAGTTAAGAACATAATCTGAGTATTTAGAGCACGCTGAGTAAATGTTAATGAATGCTAGCTTACATTATGACATTATGCATGTTAAGTGGAAAGTCTGAAATTGCATTTCTCTCTGATGATAACCTGGGTCAAAGTATTGCATTTATAATTTATTTGTGAGGACATTTTCTGTTATAAGTGACAGGCGTGGAACTCAAGCCAGCTTCAACACAAAATGGGCATTCACTGGTTTATGAAGAAGTGAGGACTGGTGGGTAAAACTGGCTTTCCATGGCTCCTATGTCAGGATACCATCAGGACTTGCTCTCAAGATGAGAATTGGCTACATCGTGGAGGTGGGATAGAATCCTTTAATGTAAGAAAGTTTGTGTGAAAGCCTGAGACCAGAAAAGCTCAAGTAACTGCCCCCACCTCTCCCGGCTTCTCAGGGGCACAGGGGTGTTTGAACCCAGGTTTCTCTTGCTCAGCCATCAGCGACATCTGCCTCTCTGCCCTGCAGAGTATATAAAACCTGAACCGACAGGGTGTCTGAAGCAGGATGTCATTATTTAAATCTGACATTTTAGTACAGATCTTGCGCTCATAGATTTCAAAAGATCTAAAATGAAGAATTAGCTTCGTGCTCATTTGCATTCAGCTGCTATTTACAGTTTGTTAGAGCATCTCACTCATTTTCCAAAGGACTATTTTATTTTCATTCATTCTCGACTTTGGGCAATGTAAAGAACAAAACGAATCGTTCTGTTGTTAAAGTTAGTGGTACCAAATAACTAAGAGTGGAATGCCTGTGTCTTCCTTGATTCTGTGTTGTAATTAGGGATTAAATACGTATAGTTCGTCTTGTTTGGACAATGGTACCCATTCCTTTAAGATATAACCATTGAACTCTGTTTGGGACAAAGGAACTGACTGTATGTCCTAGTACACTTTATATTGAACTCCTTTAAACTTGCCTGAACAGTGTGGGCTGTTAGGTCACAGGGACACCTTGACATGGAGAATTTTTGTGTGTTGACATTTTGGCCACGGACTTGACCTGAACTAAGTTTCCCATGAGAATGTGTAATGTGCCCTTCCTGGAAGAAGTACACAGACTTGAGTATGCCTGAAACATGTTTAATACACAAAGTTCACATTAAAAACAGCACAAAGTCTTTAATTTTTTTCAATGTTGGGTCCGGAGAAGCTCAGGCTTTTTTCTCATTTGCTACAACAGTTTTCCTTCAAATAATGCATTGGCAAGGTGACAGGTGGGTGACCCAGTGTCTGGCTAGGGACTATCTCTCTGAATGTATTGTAATCTGAAAATGTGGATGTAAGTTCAATCACAGCTGGTTTGGTATTGATAAAACTATATATACAACAATTACAGCTTCTCTTTATATGGCAAGGTTTGCTGGGTGTCTTATGACCTGTTTACTATCTCAAGTGCAAGTTCAAACAAATTTCATTTTTGTAGTAAAAAGTCTTTATTTCCAAAATGACTGGTTAGCCAGAAAAACTATAAATCACCTAACACAAGACTTTGGTAAAAAAAGAGGTTTGGCGCTTCTTATAAATTTCCCCTTGTAAGCAAAAGAAATAAAACTTATGTAACAAGGAAGATGTTACCCATTCTCAGCCATTAACCAGTTACCTGGTTTTAATGCTCCAAAATTAGGATTAAAAGTGTACCCAATAGGGACCAAATAACATGAGACACTGGGGTGGCCTGTCCTTTGAGTTACTTAGGAATCACCACCTTAAGGAACTTTGACTTTCATGGGTTGAGAGGAAGCAAGCCTCTAGATAGCGAAGAGTAATAGCGCCAAAGTGAGCAGATGCTGTATCTACTTTTATTTTTGTCCAAATGAAAATTAAACCTCTTATTTCTTTCTTCTTTCTTTTTTTTGTTAATCCTGAGGATATTTTTCATTTTTAGAGTGGAAGGGAGGGGGTGAGACAAGAGAGAAACATCGATGTGAGAGAGACGCATTGATTGATTGCCTCCTGCATGTGCCCCGACCAGGGCCAGGGATCAAGCCTGCAACTGAGGTATATGTCTTTGGGCAGAATTAAACCCAGACCCTTCAGTCCGTGGGCCGATGCTCTAGCTACTGAGCCAAACCAGCTAGGACTAAGCCTCTTATTTATATTACCTTCCTTTGTAGGGGGAGAAAGCGGTTTATTAAAGGGCCACAACAATGATGTTGGAAACAAAGCTCCAGGAACTCAAAGATGTGACAATAACGGCGCCTCCAGAATGAGGAAGCAAAATCCGCATCCTTAGCTGAATAGGATTGAGGTGGATAACAACCGTAAACAGACTCAACCTTCTGACACTTCATTCGTGTAAAAACACAAAAGACAGACCCAAATGAGTTTTTTATTGAACAGTCCCTCTTGGGTTAAAGAAAATAATACAGACTCAGGGCTATAGCATATACTACATGTTGTGTTTGAAAATATCCTGATGTGTTTAATGTAAATTCTTAAAATAGTGTATTCAAAGCATTGTATGCATCTCATCCATGATACATATTTGGATAAAGCATAATGAAAAAGACCTGCAACGGAAACAAAATGAATTTTAATAATAAATGAATAAGAACTGCCAATGGATTCAACAAAATGTCCTTTTACACTAATCCTTGGTAGTCAGGTCTCCCTGTTTGGTGCTGCTGAGTGCTGGGGAGGGGATGGAGACCACGGCCTTCCCTACGGGTGTGCCCAGGACCAGAGCCCCAGGGTGGAGTGCTGACCTAGGCTTAACTTCCCAGCAGATTTTCTTGCCCAGCTTGATTCTGTCATATTCTCTTCTCCCTAGATTCCTATCTTCTAAATGTCTTAGCCACACCTTTTCTGTCTACAGAAGAAAGAAAAAACTTTACATATAACATTTTATGATTAAAAAAAACCTCTTTAAAATACAGAGATACATTTTTATTGAAGAATGGCGTGGTGGGTTGTGGGGAGACTCAGCTAAAGGTTTGTTTTGCATAAGTAAAATAGGTTAGAATTGGTTTGAAAACATAAAGGTAGATGCATGTTGGGAGATTTTTTAAAACTCAGGTTTGGGATTGCTAGTGAGGCCCCTTTTGCTGCCTGGGCCTTGGTTCTGGTGAGGACCTAGTACTGGAAACATCATAAGACTGGCTTCCTAGGAGAATCATGGCAAAAAATAACTCAAAACAAGGCAAAAATCCTTTCTAGACTTAGTGACCCTGTGCATCAGGTATAAGAACCGGCACCCTTATATTCAGATAAATCCGCCATCATTTCCTTTGGGCTATCAGGAACCAGTATCAGGAAAGAGAAATGTATTTGGAATTTCTCAGTGAAAGAAGAAAGCCATCCAACTTCAATGCTCCTCTTCCTGTCTACCGTCTCCGTCTTCCCCAAGAACTATTGATGACCGAGGAGACTCAACAAGGGACCTCACGCTCCACTAAGGGAAAAGAGATGAGCAAACCATAGCTTCTTGCAAGAGAGGGCGGGCCAGAGAGAATGAAGGGATCTGCTCTCTTTATCTGAGGGGTGTGTTTCCTGCTGCACCCCGGGACTGAGGCACAGAGTCATTTCCAGACACAGTTGCCTCTTCCTGGAGGCCAGGTCTCTGCCCTGCGCCCGGGTGGATGCTCTCGGGGGACACATTTCCGTGTGGTACAGGGTGGCTCACACGTTCGTGCTGGAGGAGGACCGGCTGAGGGTGAGGGAGCCCTGCTCGGCCTGTGCCCACCAAGAAGTATACAGAAAGGATGTCCCTGGCACCCACAAGACCACTGGGCGAATGACACGGCGGAAATGACAACTAGCGTACACGATTTAAATGGCCTTAAACAAACAAGCAAACAAACGATCCAGCCACCGGTGACTCTGGCATCCCGAGCGGGGCCCTGGATACTTGGACCCTTGTTAACAAGGGTGAACGTTGCAGGCTCTGATCTCCTTCTTGTCTTTGCAGCTGGTAAACTGGGAGCTCTTGAACCTCTTCTTGACAGTCATGTAGCGTTCCTGGATCCCCCCTCCGCACAGTTTGGTGCATTCCGACCAGGCTGTCCAGGGGCGCATCCTACAGCCTGAAAGCACGAGAAGCCGGGTTAGGCCAGCAGACATTGGGGCAGCACAGGGGTGCTGAATTCTAGCAAACAGCTGTCACATCTGGTTGTCTGGGCTTCTCCTCTGCTCTTGTACGAAATGAGTTGTTGAGTTAAATAATGGCTAGAGTCCCTATTAGGAACTGATAGTTCCTAGGTGATAGACTGCAAATACTTTGCAGCTCTTCCCATCACCGGGCTGTCTGCTTCTCCACCTCTTGAATCGGGGCTTGATGATATGACTTGCCAATGGCTGGAAAAATAGCTGCTGGGGACCTTCCACGCCACATAAGAAAGCCTGGTGAGACTGATGCAGCAGGCCTGTGGAGGGGCCCCAGCCACCCTCTCTGAGGCCCCAGAAATGCAGGCGAGGCCTGTGTAGACCTTCCAGCCCCAGGTGAGCCAGCTGCTGACAGTAACCACACGAAGGACTGAAGCTGGACCACAGAAGGTGCATCCAGCTGAGCCAGCCCAAGTCACTGAGCACAGAATCATGTTAATACATGACTTCTAAGTAGCTACTGTTTGGGGTGGCTTCTGAAGGCAGCAACGATGCAAGTTGCAATTAATCACTTCTTTCTCTTATGCTTTGCTCCCCGAGTATTTAGCCTCCTTCCCAAATACTAAGTAAACGCAAGTGTACTTTATTATTCTTCCTACATAAATGTGCCCTTCCCAAAGAAAATTTCCCTGAACCCCGGATATAAGGTTAGGTCTTTTTTTAAAAAAAAAAAATTTCCTTGGCTTTCTCCATATGACTGCTTTGTAGAACCAGTCACGTTTATGATCCTTCAATACTATGCTGAGTTTCATGGAGGAGAAGAACCTGGCATAGTGTCTGCCTGGCACCTGGTGGGGCTCAAATGAGTGTTGACTAGCCGACCGACTACCATGTGCAACAGACAGCATTTTGGTGTGCAAACAGCTTGCTATCAGAAAGATCATGAACTGTCAGCTCCTTGTATGTGCATTTCTCATCGCCCTAGATGGAATGCCTTAAGGAAGAGAGAAGAAAAGGGTAATGTGAGCTGTGCTTTTAAAAATAGTGTAACGACATACCCTTAACCTTCACGTTTATGCAGGCACCTTCCTCACCCACTCTAGGGAATCCAAAGACCATCCATTGGCCTGCACCCAAGACTGAACCATGGATCTTCCCATCTCATTGTTTCATGGATTTACTGATGGTTTTGCAGTCTTGGCTGGGATCAGCGTATTCAGCAGTGTCCCCTCAGGTGGGGAGATTTAAGTCCTAAAACCCCCTCAAGTTATGCTGGAGGAGGGGGCACATAATCTCTCTCCCAGGCTACAAACAAAACTTAATAAGTGGCTTTGTGCCTCCTCCAAACCACTCAACGTGTCTGTGAAAGTCGCTCTAGCTTAAAACCTTCACCTACAGAACCAAGTCTCCAATCCTCAGCGGGACACTAGACCTTTCCTGGCCTGGTCCCCACTGCTCCAGCGGGGTTTCCTGCCGCTCCCCTTGTACTCTGCTCCATCTGCGTCCCATTTTTTGCTTGAACATACCACACTCTTTGGTATCTCTGTGCCTTTGCAATTACTATTCCTGCTCTAACTGGCAAATTCCTACAAGCTCTTTAAGACCTCCTTGCATTTCCCCTGCTTCATCTCCCTGAACTCCAGCCTCACACGTGGGAGCAGTACCTGGGAACTGCTCCCCATCTGACTCCTCCCTCATCTGCTCACTCCTCCGGCTCTCTCGGGCCTCTCTCCAGCGCAGCTTCTGGATGGATGGATTTCGGCATTTCCGGAGGCGGCACTTTTTTCGCTGCACAGTCTCTGGGCAGGGTGCACCTCCAAACTGAGGCTCCATTTGGATCATCCGGGTTCGAATCATGTGGCCTTTCCCGCATGACTTGTTACATTCCGACCACTGGGACCACTCGGTGAGCTCACAATCAGTGGCTGGCAAGACACAGAAGGGCATGAGTGCATCTCATGTCTGAAACAAGATACGGCCACTTACACTCTCCTTTGACCATCTCAAATCAAGCCTGTGAGACATGCAGAGCAGGTGCTGTTATCCCATTCCACAGAAGAAGAAACTGAGGCTCCAAGAGGCAGACTAACTTCATCCAGCCCACACGGTTGGTAAGCAGGAGGGGCAGGATTGGTGCCCAGGTCATAACCTACATTTTATGGCCTCTCTGTGACTCA